CCTATGAATTTTTAATGGTTTATTGATTTCTTCATTTTGAGAATTTCTGCTTGTTTTTTTTTTCTTTTTTAAGAACCTCTCTTTATGGGATCTTTTGCTTCCTGTATTTTCTTCCTTACATCATTTTTACCTTTGCAGATCAATTTAGCTATGAACATTCTAAACTCCTTCTCTGTCATTTCTTCCACTGTGGTGTTATTGAATTATATTTATTTGTTTGAGATGATTTTTTTCCCTTGCTTTTTCATGTTGTTTGGGTGTCTACTCATTTGACAGTATGATTTTGAGGCAGTAGAGTTTCTTCCCTGTGGACTTATAAGAACTCTGAAGGTTTCTAGTACCTTACAATTTAGGGGGAGACAGATAATACATCAACCAATACAAACCATTTATAGCATCCAACCAAATAGTTCCTGCTTAGATATCTATTATGTTAATTGTCACAATAAACAGAGATGATGTGTTTAGTTATTGTGCACAGTTAATACAGTAGGATTATGTACATACTTACACTTTTAAGTTGTGAACAGAGATAGAAAAGAAATAATGTAGGAAATGATGCTTGTGAGGGAGGGGGAGAGAAAATAGAAGTAGAAAATAGAGGAGGAATGATAGATCAGTTAAGGTTGGCTATTAGTAGAGGAAAAGACATAAAGAGGTTCAAGGGAAACAGGTGAGAGAAAAGGTGTAAATAATAAAAATTTTAAAATTAATAGTAAAAATAAAAGTAAAATAGTACAAGAACAAAACTGCTGTAGTATAATGAAATATATTAGTCCTCAAACTTTTTATCTATAAGAAATAACTGCCTTAGCGGCTGGGGTTGTGGCTCAGCAGTAGACCCTGGGTTTGATCCATCCTCAGCACCACATACAAAAATAAACAAGTGAAATAAAGGTGTTGTGTCCAACTACAACTAAAAAATAAAAATAAAATAAAAAAGAGAAATAACTGCCTTAAAAAGATGTTAGGAATGAGAAAAACAAAAAACAAAACAAAAACCCAAACAAAGCAAGACAAAACTAAACAAACAAAAATAGGTCTGAATATGTATAAGTGTCCATGAATCATTCAGGTCACAATTGAACATTGTTCTTCATTGTGTTCTTTAAGGTAAGTCTTAACATTTTCATTAAATACAGTGAAAATATCTGAAAAGAAACATCAGATGACAAATGTTTTTTAAAAAACAATCTATCATTTTCACCAGTTCATGAGCAAATGTTGATCTCTTTCTTAGTCAAATCCTAGGAGGGAATGATCCTGCTGTATTCTTAACAAAGCATACGTAGATAAATGTTCTTTTTCTACTTACTCATTACTCTTGGTCTGGTTAGGTTTATCATTTGACCTATTGTAGAAGAAGGCAATGACTATATAATAAATAATAAATCCATTCACATGAAGATGTTAGGGTATGGTGTGGGTAAACCATCAGTAACAGTGTTAAGGGAGAGATTTGGAATTAGACAACTTGTTGACACTGTGCTGTGTGACCATAGGAAGTTAGTAATAGTCTCTTTGAATTTCAGTTTTCTCAATGGTAAAACAGGGGAGTCAGTGGCCTACTGGAGTTAGTTGATGAGGGTGGGTTGTTAAAATTCCAGAAATTTAATGAGCCAGAGAGTTAAATACTATCAGTATTAAAAAATCAAATCTCATGAACTTAAATTGTATGACAAATACGATTAAAAATTCAATATTGATCACTTTTTAGTTATAATTATTTTTAATTATTTTACTCCATTTTACCATTATTTATACTCTTAAGATTATTTATTGTATGTGTTTACACATCTCCTTCCAAGTTTGCATTCAGTGATGCCGTATTGATCCTTTGAAATCAGCCATGATGGGGATGTTTACTCCATGGAAATTTTTATTTATTTATTTTTTAAACATTTATTTTTTAGTTGTAGGTGGACACAATATCTTTATTTTATTTTTATGTGGTGCTGAGGATTGAACTTAGTGCCTCACGCATGCTAGGCAAACGTTCTACCTCTGAGCCACAATCCCAGCCCTCCATGGAAATTTTTAAATGGTGCAAAGCAAGCTTTGACTTATTGCTTATTATCTCTAAACTTAAGAAAGTGATGGGAGAAAAAAAATAGAGTGAGAATTAAAATATTGATGATAAGTAAACTTAAAATATGTCATGTCTGAGTTCCTCCAAACTGGGGAACTGCTATAGTTAGGATCTGGAATACCTCCTGTTACCCACCATAGGTGGAAGTCTTGATCCTCAGCTGGTCACTTATTGGGAGGTTGTAGAAGCTTTAATAGGTAGGGCCTAGTGAAGGAAGTTAGTTCATTGTGGGTGTGCCCTGAGGGGAATATTGAGATCCCTGTCCTTTCCTTTCTCTTTTGACTTTTTATTTCCTGGTTATTATTGGGTGAGCTCACCTCCTCTACCACATGCTCCCACTATGATATATGTGGTGTTACAGGCCCAAACCAAGATGACCATGGACTAAAAATTCTGAAGCCAAAATAAACCTTTCTTCCTTTAAGTTGTATTTTTTTTACAGTAACCAAAATCTAATCTAGAAACCATTCTTTCAGTATTTGAAAACTATCATTCAATTCAGCAAAGAAGTAGTTGACATCATTGAAATACAATTTTTTTACTCCTTAATTAAAATATCAGCGGATATTTATGTCAAAAGTGCACTCATTTATCAATTGTGTGACTCCATGTGTTGAATTGGACAGAAATCAAACTTATTTTGTAGTTTGAATTTGTGACACTATTGTTGATGAAATAATTATAAAACCAACAGTGTAGCAAGTCACATCAGGGTGTAGGTATATGGAATTTATAATACAGAGAATGTGTCCTTTTTTCTAGGTTATTAATTTTCTTGTCATAGAGTTGTTTATAACAATCTGTAATAATACTTTGTACTTCTATTTTAACAAAAATTACCTCATTACAATAGTACTTCTATTATCAGTTGTAATGTGTTATGTTATTTGGATATAAGGTATCCTCCTAAAAAGCTCATATTAGACAAAGTAGCAATACTCAGATGTGAAATTAAGTTATGAGAGCTGTAACTTACTTAATGGATTAATCCATTTGGTGGATTAATAATTTGAAATGGACTACTGTAGTGGGTTGTAACTATAGGCAGGTAATATGTGGTTGGAGAAAGGTCAGTGGGGGTTTGCCTTTGGGGTTTATATTTTGCCTCTGGTACCTTGATTTTGCTTCCTGCCTGCCATGAGCCAAGGAATTTTCCTCTACCACACCCTTCTGTGATGATGTTCTGCTTTACCTTGGGCCCAGAGCTGTGGGGACACCCATCATGGACTAAACCTCTGAAGCTCTGAGGAAAAATTAACTTTTCCTCCTTTAAGTTATTCTTTTTTAGTATTTTTTTTGTCACTGTGACTAATACAAAATGTATTCTTTTTAAAAAATATTTTTTAAGTTGCAGTTGTTTATTTAAGTTTCACTTATTTATGTGGTGCTGAGGATTGAACCCAGGGTCTTGCACGTGTGAGGCAAGCGATCTACCGCTGAGCCACAATCCCAGCCCTAATGTATCCTTTTTAATCTCTGGTTTTATTTTAATTTTGTTTTCTTAATCTAAGATTTTATCAATTTTGTTTAAACCTACTGTTTTTGTTTTTATTTTATTTTATTTCCTGGTACCAGGGATTAAACCCAGAAGCTCTTAACCCCTGAGCCACATCCCCATCCCTTTCTATTTTTTAGTTTGAGACAGGTTCTCACAAAGTTGCTTAGAGCCTTGCTAAATTTCTGGCTTTGAGCTTGTGATCCTCCTACCTTAGCCTCCCAAGCAAACCTACTGTCTTTCAAGTAGATTTATAGGTTACACACCAAAAAGTCCACAAATTATAAACATGCAGACTCAGTAATTTCTAGAGTTGAACAACCATTATTAAAAAGTTCTAGAACGTGTCCATCACCCCTCAGAATAGCCTTTTGTCCTTTCTCAGTCAATCCTTGCTACTCCCAGCCCTACAAAACCACAAATCTACTTTATATCTATAGATTTTTCCTTTGTGAATATTTTATATCAATGTAGTGATCATGTTATTTATATAGGGCTCATTTCACATTGCATAATTTTTGAGATTAATCTATTTTGTTGTTTGTGTATAATTGTTCCTTTTTGTTGCCGCATACTATTGTATTGGATTTGGCTATTATTTTATAGACACTTGGATTATTTTATGATTTTGGCTATAATTAATAATAACAACAAGTGTTACTATCTAGGGCTTATCAGAAAATAAGCCCTCAAAAGTATATCCTGAAGGAATCTATAAATAAAATAATGAGTCAAGGTAAAGGAAGGAGGCTGGGTAGACATAGAACCCTTGGTTCTAGGCTGGCTCTGTTCCTAAATGTCAGTGCAATCAACCAGTCAGGAACATGACTTTGGCCTTTAGTGTCTTTCAACAGTGATGAATTTGACCTAAATTACCTCTAAGCTCTTACCTGAAATTTAAATATAAACAGACTATCTCAAACATATGAAGATTTTTAACATTATGATGGTGCAAAAGTGAATGTAAGTATTCTAATTTTGTCCCCAATAACACTGGCTCAAAGTGATCAAGTCTCTAAACTCAACAGGAGAGTGGGACACAGTAGGCCATGCCTTGAAGAGTATGGCTGATGGGCTCCTGCCTTCATCCTGAGGCCTCCCTCCCTTTTGTCTAATCAGCCTTAAAAAAGAAAAAATCTTTGGAGCATCAATTTTATTATACAAGTCATGAGAAACAAATTTATTGAGAAACATCTCTCCCATCCCAGAAGCATGGGACAAAGGACAGAGAAGACAGGGCAGGGGGAGTGTCCCAGGGAAAACAGTCTCTGATGTCTCTTGCAGGTGGGAGCAGAGGAGACTCCTGATGTCCAGATCTACTCCTGAGTGGAACCCGTGTGGAGAAGCCTGTGCGAGGTAGCACACCTCCCTCCTGCAGCTGTTTGAGTCCAGGTGACTGATGCCCACGCTGTGATGTCAGGATCCAGAGAGCACAGGGTCCTCTGGCTGTCCATTGGTTTGGTCTGTCTCAGCTGTCCATCCCCCTGGAGCCACTCTGTTTCTGCACCTATGAGATTTCTGCCCTCTTTCCATGGGAGCCACATTTTTGCTGACACATGGCATCCAACAACACAGCCATTGAAAGCAGGTGGTGATCCTCCCAGCCACTGTCTTCCGGCCTCTTCTGTTGTCATGGGGTTGCCCTGTGGAGATGTCTTGGAAGGAACTGCTACTGTCTGTTGCTGCAGTCAGCCTACTGAGAATACTCAAGGGGCTGGGCAAGTGGGACACAGAGTCATGCTGGGAGGCTATGGCAGGAGTGGGGGTCCATGTAGGCAGAAAGCAGAGATTAATGGCAGGCAGGCTGGACCTTCTGATGCTTCTCAGCCCTAACTGCTTGGCCTCCTCAGGCAGCTGGTACTCAGAGGGCAAGAGGAAGTTGTAAAGGGCAGGTTCACTGATACTCCTCTTTGGGAGGCCAGGGAAATTGGAAGGATCCAAGAGTTGTGGGCTAGGTCTTGGCTTTACATGCACAGCTTTCAGCTGGAATTTGTAGCTTGCCCCCTGGCTTATCTGATGCTGGAGTATCAGGTATGTAGCCATGGCGTCATCAAACTTTCTATTGGCCACAGACACCCAGGTATTGTATGGGTCACAGCCCATATCAAACAGGATTGCCATTACTGCAGGATCTGGGTGTTTGGGGAGTGGGTCATGATAATGATATGGTAAATATTCTCTCTGCCTCAGCCATGGGTGCTGCAGGATTTGCTGTACTGTGGGCCGCTGCTTGGGGTTCACAGTCAGTAGTTTACAGATGAGGTTTTGTGCATAGGTAGGAACGTGGTGGGGGATTTGGTACCTTCCGCACACGATCAGCTTCAGCAGGTGCTTAGTGGTGATCCCCATAAATGGGCATTTCCCTGTCAACATAAAATATAGAATGACTCCCAGGCTCCAGATATCCACTGGGGGGCCCTCATACTCTTGCCGCAAGGCGATTTCAGGAGCAAGGTATGCGAGAGTGCCCCAGAACCTGTTCAACTTCAGCCCAGCTATGAACCTGGCACTTAGGCCAAAGTCGATGAGTTTGATGTTGCCTCTGGCATCCAGCATGATGTTTTCCACCTTCAGGTCTCGGTGCACAACACCCTTCTTATGGCAGTAGTCCACAGCCCTTGCGATCTGCCTGAACAGTCTCCGTGCCTCCTCCTCCTGCATGCCACCAGCCTGGATGTGGTGAGATAGCTGTCCCCCACTTGCGTACTCCATCACGAGGTAGGCATTTTGGACAGTTTCAATAACCTGAAATAGCTGAATCACATGTGGGTGGCTCAGAGTCATCATGATATCTGGTTCAGAGAGGACTGGAAACACCTGCCCCTCCTTTGGCAGGATTTTTACTGCCACCTCTGCCCCAGTGAGGAGATGGCGGGCTAGTTTCACCTGGCCAAACCCACCATGCCCAATGGTCTTTAGGAGCTGATAATGGTCTGTGAAGGGAATCTCATCACAGGAGCAGGGCTCCTGCAACACTGCACTAGTCTGACTACTCTTACAATTCATCCTAAGCAGGAACACCAACTAAGAATGCTAGCTAAAAACAAAACAAAGCAAAAAAAAAAAAAAAAAAAAAATCAAAACAACAAACCAAAAATAAGAAACCAAAACAAACTCAAATCAAAAAAACCAATATCTAAAGACCACAACCAAGAAACATGCTATAGGCCACCACCAAGAGCTTCCTATAGTTATGATGGACAAAAACCCAGGCACAGCATCTTTTATAATACCTGCTCTTTGAAATTTCCTCACTTACTCCTTGTGAAGTCAGGGCCAGTAATGGCCCAGTCATGCCTGGGCAGAGCCCCCAGTGATTTTGAGTCCCCAGACCTTTGCCACTTTCTGAATAAGATTAAGAAAGGATCCTACATCCCTCACCACACACCCGCTTCCAGTAGCAGAAGGGGGCGGAGCTGTGCATGTCTGCTTGGCTGACCGTTGGCCCCTCAGCCAACGCTCAAGCACAGCTCCCTCGCCACCCCTCACCTCCTCTCCTCCGTGGCTCTGGTTCCAACCCCCTAACTCCCATTCGGGGAAAGGGTTAGGATCCCTCTGGTATGATGACCCTGGGCCTCCCCAGCCTCCCACTGGCCTAGAGCCGGTCCACCCCACCGGCGTGAGAAGGGGCGGGGCTGCGGACTTCCGACTCAGGCCCCCAGACCGCCTCCCCATGCGCAGGGGCAGACACCCTAGTCGACTGTAGGGGAGACACGTCGCGCTGCAGTGGCTCTGGCCCCAGGTCTAGGAAACCTGCATTTCTCCGGGGTTTGTATTGTCCATGGTGGGGCTGGGCCACGTGATTGCCCCCGCAGCTGCACAGGTCCCAGGTCCATCCTTTCTTCTTGGAGTTTCTAGCTCCCTTCCAGCTCCGCTGCCGCACCCACGAGTTACAATTGCTTAGTGCACCTGGACAATGATGCTAATCTATTCCTCTTGGTACATGGCCCGACTCCCGTGGGCACTTCTAGCAACCTGTGTGGTGTGATGATACAGATGATGCTGGGAGGAATGTCCCCTGAGATAGGTGCATTGTGGTTATTATCTCAGTTGGTTAGTACTGCATAAGCACCCTGTGGAATCTGGGTCTGGCCAAGTATTACTTCAGCGAGTGGAGCTTGGCTTACAAATCCCATCCTTGCCAATTTACCCTAAGCGATCCTCACAGAGGCCATCTACTCTTATCTTCCACAGCGCTCTGCTGCACTTCCAGAAGGTCTGAACCAAGCTTCCTATCCACATGCTGGTTCCACGCATCATTCTTTAGCCTATGCAGGAGGAAATCTAACATGTGCAGTTATTTAAAACAGCAGTGGCCCTTTTACTTCATTTCATGTGTTTTGATGCACTTTCCCTCAATTTTTTATAGTATATTGGCTGGCTCCTTCTTTAGGTACTTTGTCAATGATTTTCAATGTTCAGCTTTTTCCTCCCATGGCTTCATGAAACAATACAATTAATAAAAAGGAATAACTATTCCAAAAGACTCAGTCTAAATTACAGGACGGTCAAGCTGGATGTGCAAAACACTGGCTGCATTGGATTCATCAATGTTTTAACTTCCTTTGAGGAAGCTGTCTTAAGTTTTCATCACTAGGACTTAAAATTACTATGAAAATGAGGTATCCTGAATTTCTCAGTGAAGACTTATTCTTTTGAGTGGTGTATTAAATACTGCTGGAAAAGACTCATTAATTAAACTTCATACAGGTAAAAAACCAAAAAGTATTTCATGAGCTTTGGGCTTCAGTGGGCTATTGAGCTGATATTACTTGTTTAGAAATTAAAATTTGTACAAAACTTCAATGGATTTTTCATTTTAAGTCTAAGAATCTATCATTACTTTTGGCTTTGAAAGACCTCAGCATATCTATACTCATGGTATCCAACTCCTTTTTCTTCCAACTCTTGAATAATTAGTTTCAAAAGGGTGGTAACACCTCACTCATACTGTGATACTATAACAAAATGTTGTGTTCCTTAAGACACGGTAAAGTATTAACACCTATGAGGGTGAGAGGGAGGAGGGGTTAATCATGATTTCCTCATAAGGTCTTCTCAGATTTTTTTTTTTACTTTTATATGGACATTGTATTTCTTTTTTAAAAAAATTTATTTGTTTTAATTAGTTACACATGACAGTACAATGACCTTGACATATAATACATTTGAATCAGATGGGATATAATTTCTCATTTTTCTGAGTGTACAGGTTGCAGAATCACATTTGTCGTGCAGTCACAGTAATAATAATGTCTATTTCATTCTACTATCCTTCCTTTTCCCATCCCCTCCCCTCCCCCCCATCACTTCTCTCTACCCAATTTAAGGTGACGCTATTCTTTTTTTTCCTCACATCTTCATACATGTATTTTGTATAACAATGAGGGTCTCCTTCCACCTTCCATGCAATTCCCCTACACCCTCCCTTTCCCTCCCACCTCTCTTCCCTATCTAGAGGTAATCTTCTTCCCATGCTCTTTCTCCCTACCCCATTTGGAGTCACCCCCCTAATATCAGAGAAGACATTCGGCATTTGTTTTTTCTGGGATTGGCTAACTTCACTTAGCATTATCTGCTCTAATGCCATCCATTTCCCTGCAAATGCCATGATCTTATTATTTTTTAGTGATGAGTAATATTCCATTGTGTATATATGCCACATTTTTTTTTTATCCATTCATCCATTGAAGGACATTTAGGCTGGCTCCACAGTCTAGCTATTGTGATTGTGCTGCTATAAACATTGATATGGCTGTGTCCCTGTAGTATGCTGTTTTTAGGTCTTTTGGGTATAGACTGAAAAGAAAAAAAACAAATAACCCAATCAACAAATGGGCCAAGGACCTGAACAGACACTTCTCAGAAGATGATATACAATCAATTAACAAATACATGAAAAAATGCTCATCATCTCTAGCAATCAGAGAAATGCAAATTAAAACTACTCTAAGATACCATCTCACTCCAGTAAGAATGGCAGCCATTATGAAGTCAAACAACAAGTGTTGGCGAGGTGGAGGGGGTGGGAGAAGGTACACTCATATGTTGCTGGTGGGACTGCAAATTGGTACAGCCAATTTGGAAAATAGTATGGAGATTCCTTGGAAAACTGGGAATGGAAGCACCATTTGACCCAGCTAATTCATCTTCTCAGATTTCTCATTGGAATCCCTGGAATGCAAAATGCAGTGGGGTTGATGTATTCAAAGTGATGAAGGAAAAATGTGGAAGCCAAGAAACCTAGAACTAGCAAAACTGTTCTTCCCATAGGGGGAAGAAATGGAGGCATTCCCAGATGACTGAGTCCCTTTGTGCTGCTGTAAGAAAATACCTAAGACTGGGTAATTAATAGAAATAAACTTCTTTCAGTTCTATAAACTGTCAAGTTCAAGATCAAAGCACTTCATTGCTTTATTCTCACATGAGGAAAGGGGCATTAGGGTTGAACTCATTCCCTTAAGCACCATCTCCCCCCATTCCACCTGCCTGCAGATACTGGCAGTTGAACCCAAAGCTTCACACATTTTAGGCAATGCTATACCACCGGGGTACATCCCCAGCCTTTTAACTTGAGACAAGCTCTCGCTAAGTTGCTCAGGCTGGGCTTGAATGTATGATCCTCTTGCCTCAGTGTCCCAAGTAGACAGGCTGATAGCCTTTTGTAGTTTGGATATGAGGTGTCCCCCCAAAGCTCCTAAGTTAATACAGGAATATTCAAAGGTAAAATGGTTGGATTGTGAGGTTGTAACCTAATCAGATGCTCCTAATTTCAATGGAATAAACAGGTGGGGTATGACTAGAAGAGGTGGGTCACTGGGAATATGCTCTGGAGGGGTGCTTCTTTCCTGTGTCTTCTCCCCCTCTTTGTACTTCCTTGCTTGCATGAGGGGAGCAGCTTCTCTCTGCTGGGCCCTTGACCCATGATGTGCTGCCTCACCTTGGGCCTAGAGCAATAGAGTTGTCATCTATGGACTGAGATCTCTGAAGTCATACCCGTGGATAAATGGATAAACTTGTGATCCTCTAAGTTGTTCTTCTCAGGAGTTTTGATTACAGTGACAAAGAAAGCTAACTGAAACAGAAATTGGTACCAAGAACTTGATTATATTTTGCCATGTCTTGAGACTCTGTGTGAGGTTGAATGTAAAAATGATGGACTAACTAATCTGGTGGAGGAACTTTCAGGATAGCACAATGTTCAGTCACTGACATGGCTATTGATGGCAATCTTTAGCCTGGTTTACTCTGAGAATGGGGAGGAAAATACAGAGCTAGCAAATTTAAAATACTTGCAGTTTGGCCAGAAAAGTACATGTAAAGCTGGGGATTAGAAAGATGTGCTTCTTGGGGCTGAGGATGTGGCTCAAGTGGTAGTGCGCTCGCCTGGCATGCATGCGGCCTGGGTTCGATCCTCAGCACCACATACAAACAAAGATGTTGTGTCCGCCGTGTTGCAGTAATCCACTTGCAGGTCAGCATGGGAAAAGAAAGAAGAAGCAGAGCAAGCTAAATAGCAGCAGAAAAAAAGTCCTTTATTGTGTACAAGCAATCTTTTTATAGTATTGTGAACAAAGAAGGCAGCCTTCCAACATCAATAAATCAGGTCTTTCAGCTAATTAAACATAGCATACAGAAGTTTTACTTTCTAATCAGAAGTGACCGGCTTCTCATGGCTAATCTATTCTTGGCCGGGAGTATGTTGAACTCTGCTCTTTGTTAAGAACAGATAATAAAATTTTTCTCAGCGCCCTCCTAGCCCACTTGGCAGAACATCCTGTTTGCAGGCAAGTCCTCCCAAGGACAGCAGACACCTCGTTTTCAAGCATGTCTGCTGTTACCTATCTATACCTTGACAGAATATCCCGTTTGCAGGCAGACTCCATCAAGGACAGTAATAGTAACGCAGTTACATCTGATTCTCTATACCGCCGAAAACAAAAATAAATAAATATTTAAAGAAAAAAAAAGAAAGATGTGCTTCTTGAAGAGATTACAACTTCTAAGGAGATGCTAAGTAGTTTGCACAAACACAATAGGAAAGATACCTTATGGGCATCTCAGTAATTTGCAGGACCCCCCTCCCCCACCAAGGGCTCCAGGGAACAGAATAGCTTATTTTTTTAGATATCATGGGACCCTCTGCTGGTCCAGGGGATGCCTAAAAATTTGTTCACCATGATGAGGCACACAGGCCCTCAAAGGCCACTTCATCCTTGATTCCACACACAATGCATCTACTTGTTACATTGTGACATCAGTAACTGAGGGGGTTGGGAGTGGAGATGTATAGGAGTAGCCTTCTGTACATTACTAAAGTTTTAACTTGAATGGTTTCACATTACTATGGTGTTTCTTTTTCTCATTTTAAAAGGAAAGCCCATTGAAAACACACAGAAATACCTGTAGAACATATCTAAAATTAAAGAGATGGGAAAAAACATTTAACTTAAAAAATCAACTAGATAGGAGAAAAGGTAATCATACAAGGATGCAAGTCAAA